TACTCAGCTTCGAAAAATACCCCCCCCACTTCAAGCATCGATTGTTACCCACCTAACTGTCAGAACACTCCAAATGACGTATACCATTAACAAGACTATTGACAAGCCCATTAAACAGCCGGCTTCCCACTTGTCAGTTGAAACGCGTTGAACAGCACCTTCCATACACAAAAATGAACTGACAACGACAAGCGGTGTCAGTAACAGGAAACATATGACATCTCCTATCAGAGACTTCTGGTGTCTGCGGTCTGAACCACTACAGAAGAACTGTGCAATAGAAAAACAATTAATGTGTAATTTTATATTAAAAACACGTATATTAAAATCACGCTAAACCCCCCCACACTGTTTAAAAACACGTATATTAAAATCACGCTAAACCCCAGATATCCTTCAACTACTCATTTCCAAAACAAGCGTTCACGGACGAAATTCTAAAGATATATTGTGAACGTTACAAAACAGTAAAATCATCTTTAACCCATAATTGTCTCCGATAAATTAGTCGATTAAGCTTAATTCTTCGAAAGGTTCGTCACTTAAAGAAACCCAATAAGCATTATTATTATTTATTTTACAAGTTTTGTGTTATCGCCTCCTGTCTTTGGTAAGCTGTCTGCACGCAAGTGTAAACTAAAATGTTTTCCTTTACCTCCAGCAGGGAGCGCGACGATCGGACGATGTGGAACTTGTATCGGCAGATTTCACAAGTATCCGTATTGGCAGTACCAAGCCATTTCTCCATGCAGTCCAAGTGTACTACACCCACTGAACCTAAGAGAAGAAAATTTACACTGTCTACAAACAAGTCATTCAAATTTCAAAATATAATAGCGTTGTACATAAAACTAAATATTTCAGCTTTTAATTTCCCTTAAAGTCACGGGTGTAAGGCCGAGAAACTTAATTCATTTTAGACATTGAGATGTTTTGAAAATTACACCCTCGCAGTTTAAGTTTGTTTTTTTTGGTGGGAGAGGGATTGTTAGTGACCAGTAAATGGGTAAGCGTCGAGTATTGGACAATAGAGGCCATTAAGTAAGTTCTTATTGTTTAATTGCTTCAGTAGGCTTAGGTTCGTGACTTTAAAACACCAGATCAAAATGATAATTGATGCAATTATGGTTAATGTGGTTTATTGCTTGGTAAAACGTGTTCAGCAATATAGTTTTTAAAAGGTTTAAGTTCCATCCTACATACATAGGCAGTAGTTTCACAATAGACATGTTAATAGATTATTGTACAATGACGCTCAGGTGGTTACTGGTTGCGTTGCTTCATGCAATGTGCCAGTAGTCTGTTCAGAGGTTAGGAATGCGATTGTACACTTTAATTTCACCCATATATAATATAATACAAAATATAATTAGTGCATCTAAATAAAGCTTTTGATAGAAAATAAATTTTCGTCGCATCAGGACCAGAACTTGTCCTCACGATTCACTATCAACTGACCTCCCCATAATTCAACCTTTTTTTGGACCGAGATGGTGTCACCGTTATATAAGCTAACCCTTAACCGACCTTGGGAAGGGGGGGGGGTCCACTGTTAACTCTGTTCTTTTAATTTCACAATGAAAATGCTTAATCGAAGTAAACGAAATTTTGTACAAAACTTGCTAAAAATAGTTTCGGTTTTAAATAAATTCGAGTTTATTTAGGATTTATCACTTGAGTAAAGAAGTTTCCAAAACTTACAAAACCGTAAGTTACCACTGTTTACACTTTTTTTAAAATCTGTGTTTCTTTAGTAGTTGTTCAGACCAGGTTGTGGGACATTGCTCTAGTAGTAAAACCAGTAACACAGAAGAAGAATTAAGGAAAGAACAAGCCATGAATAATATGGTCAAGGAATGGTCGTTTCTTAACAAATATATACCTGCGCCTTTTGTTGACCAGGGAAAAGTTCTTCAATCAGACACACTGGTATACGAAACCTACTACAAGGCTAGCATTTTCAGGCTCTGCAAAGTGAGCTCCAGCAACAGACAAGATCCAAACGTTACCAGTGTTCTAGATTAGATTAATTTATTATTTTACACTATGAGATGAGGTATAGTGAAGTGTTCTGGTATAAGTGTTTAGAAAGTAACGTTTTTTTTAATGATAATAATGCAGTGCTAAGGTTTAAAATATGAAATCATTAAATATGCACCATTTTCCATGAAAATTACAAAAAATGTTTCCAGGGTATATCCCCGGACCCCTTCTCTATTATGGCTTCACAACTTATCTCCAACCCACCCCACCCAGAAGGAGTATCCTCCTTTATAGATTTCTGCCTACGGTCCTGGTCTTACGTAAGAAACCAAAAACGAATTATAAACGCATATTTAAGTTTTAAAGGAATTATTACCATGGTATTTCCACAACTAAAATAGTTAAGACTGACCTGAACAGTGACATGGAGAAACTAGTTTATCGCACGAGTCTCCTTCGTGACAAATTCGACAAGAAGGTCCACTGCTGCTGCTCGTTGACCGCTTGGTCCCAAGGGCCTGACCATCCGTAGAGGCCGCGTTTTTGGAAGAACCAAAGTTATAGACATGTACCCGCCCAATACTAATTGTAGTGGGTCCGACAGAGGGCGCAGTTGGATCGCATGGCGATTTCGCAGTCTCTGCGTTAGATGCGACGGTAGAGCCATACAGGAGAGGATAGTGTTCTCTGCGGTCTTCAGTCTTGCAAGACATTTCTATATAGTGAAATACTCCTGGAACCATACAAATAAAGAATACATTTAAATGAAACCACAAGGCTCAACGCAGATTAAGAGTATTGAAAGTTGTAACTTAAGAAGCTCGAGAATTTTGTGAAATACTAAACAGAATTTACGTAAACTTGTTATTAACCGACACTGACTAAACTCCAACTTGAAATGTTAACTATTCATACAAACAATTAAGCTTACGATTTATTTTGTGTTGATTGAAAAATAGATGTTTTGATAAATCACATTTGGATTCTACTTATAAAAAAAATTCGAAAAAGAGAAGAGAAATGTGTGGGGGGGTCTACAGTTTACGCGATTTTTATCGCAAATGTTAGGCCTATTGGATCACAGTCAGTGTCGGATTTAGACCCTTTAACCCCCCCCCCCCTTTCATATAATAATGCTACAGTGGAGACCCTTCCTAGGTTTATTTAAAACCGAGGTCCCTCATGGAACTGCAGGGGTTACACCCCCTTTTATCTCCGGCACCAGTCACAGGTAGTTTAATGTATTTATCTCACGATATAATTAGTTTTTAGATTATTCAGTGCTCTTTTTATCAACGTACGAAATAACCAAATAAAATGTTCCTTAAACAAAAGAACGTGCAGACTAATGGTTAAAAATAAAAGTAATAGAAATTCATAACCGAGGCTTAAAAGTTAACATTTCATCACGTCTGAATCGCCACCGTTTAGTAATAGTTATTTTTAATCCAAGACTTTTTTTCCCCATATAACTGTAGCGTTTTAAGATAAGTTTGAAACTTTGTCTACTCCATGTAAATAGCTCACAAAATTGATGTAATTTAAACAGATATTAAAAAAGTTAAAGCAGAATTTCTTTAGACAATGAAATGTAACACATAATAAACAAGTTCTGAAACTAACGTCCTGACAACTCAATAACAGATTCATAGTCTTTATAAAAGTACAGCAAACTAAGTAAAACTTCGAATAGCCGAAATAAGTTGTTATTCATTTTATATTTTATTTCTGTTTGGTAGTAAAAAAATAAGTATCAAACGATTAATTAAATGATTCAAGAAAATACTGAAAGTGAAAGTAATATTAATAGTGATTGTATAATTAACAATAACAAAAATATTTTACAAACATACCGAAGGAATATCTAAACATAGTCGTAAATTAAGTTATTCAGCGCCATTGTTGAGTGATAGACGAGACCCGCGAATAAATCAAATCCGCTTTTAAATACAAGAACCACTTCTGTTTATTTAAAATAACTTACCCGTAATAACTTCAAATCAACGTAAACTCTACTTTCTAACACAGGATTATCACCACAGCTTCCTTCTCAAGGACAACATTCATAATCGTGGCAGCAGATAAACATTCATATGGTACAAAAATATGCACCAATAAAATACGAGATCCTGAAACGTCATGGGAACTGAGAATCATTTTTCTCGTCGGGAACGAAGGTATTTGATGGGTATTATTCACAATATTCTGATGTTAATTGTGTTAGATATATTTATAGCTTCTGAATAATTAGCAGGAATTGAATGTGTGTATCTTATACATATATAATTAGAAAATACTTTATTAAAGAACTTATTAACAATTTAAGTCTGTTTTAAACTTACTGGTTCACATCCTAAAAACAAAATTCCGCCCCTCGTACATTTCGAGACAGATTGTTAAGTTCAAATTCTACAAAATAGTTTATAATTTATTGTAAAACAACACTTTTAGAAGGGGAAGTGTTAACTTAAACATCTTGTTCATCTGACACAAATTCCATCATCTGCTAATCACTGTAAAAACTATTAATTACTGTACGCACCCTGCCAATAAACCGACATGTGCCTGGTGGAATAGTATAATAAAACTGTATTTTCCGTAAAAAATCTACCTTCCCAATGTCTAGAGATGTGAAATATTGTTTCTTTAATTTTCCCGAAGAAACAGCACATTATCTAACAACTAAGTGCCTAGAAGGATAGAGTTTGTAAGTCAAGCCAAAGGTCATGACATGTGTTGTGGCTCAAGGTTCGATACTAGGAGTCGCCATGACAGGTGTTGTGGCTCAAGGTTCGATACTGTGAGTCGCCATGACAGGTGTTGTGGCTCATGGTTCGATACTGTGAGCCGCCATGACAGGTGTTGTAGCTTAATATTCGACACTGTGAGTCGCCATGACAGTGTGTTGTAGCTTAATATTCGACACTGTGAGTCGCCATGACAGGTGTTGTGGCTCAAGGTTCGATACTATGAGTCGCCATGACAGGTGTTGTGGCTCATGGTTCGATACTGTGAGCCGCCATGACAGGTGTTGTAGCTTAATATTCGACACTGTGAGTCGTCATGACGGTTGTCGTGGCTTAAGGTTCGATGCAGTGAGTCATCATGATAGGTGTTGTGGCTCAAAGTTCGATACTGTGAGTCGTCATGACTGGTATCGGGACTCAAGGTACAACTTCTAGTACGTTTTGACTGACAGACTACAGATCTTTACACGTTCAGTTTCTAGTATAATTTGATGGCCAGTACTGAACTTTCCAATTTCAACTTTTAACTTTTATGGTCTGGAAATCACCAATAGGAATAGTGAAGAATATGTGCTAATATAGAAATATACTCAATTGTTATGTAAAACCATTAATAATTAAGTACTATACTCAATTTTTGTGTAAAAATCATTAATAACTAAGTACTTTCATGTTACAGGGAATTTTCTGTTAGATATTAACGTTGTATTTAAAAAAATTACAATATTTTATTCTTTAATTAAATAGAATAATTAATATGCCGAAGGTTGCTACAATCAGGCTTTAGATATAAAGCATGGAATGAAAGTCAAAATAGTGTTTTCTTAATTTCCCTTACCTTGTATTCTCGGAGTTCAAAGTCACCTTGCCACAGTTTTAACATGGAAGATCTTAATACCACCATGCTACAGTTTTATGAATGAGGATCTTAATACAACCATTCTACAGTTTTAAGATGGAAGATCTTCATACTACCATGCTACAGTTTTAGGATAAAAGATCTTAATAGCACCATGCTATAGTTTTAGGATGGAAGATCTTAATATCACCATGCTACAGTTTTAAGATGGAAGATCTTCATACCACCATGCTACAGTTTTAGGATAAAATATCTTAATAGCACCATGCTATAGTTTTATGAATGAGGATCTTAATACAACCATTCTACAGTTTTAAGATGGAAGATCTTAATAGCACCATGCTATAGTTTTAGGATGGAAGATCTTAATACCACCATGCTATAGTTTTAGGATGGAAGATCTTTAATACCACCATGCTACAGTTTTATGAATGAGGATCTTAATACAGCCATTCTACAGTTTTAAGATGGAAGATCTTAATACCACCATGCTACAGTTTTAGGATGGAATATCTTTAATACTACCATGCTACAGTTTTAAGATGGATAATCTTCATACCACCATGCTACAGTTATAGGATGGAAGATCTTAATACCTCCTTGTCATAGTTTTAGGACTGTAGATTTTAAGAATACCTTGCTACAGTTTTTAGGACGATGGGTCTTAATACTATAGTTTTAGGACAGAGAATCTTAATTCTGTGTTACTGTTAGTTTTAAATATTGACATTATTATCGTCTTGGTAGCTTTAGAATAGTGAAAAGGTAATTAAAATAACGTTATTATGTTAAGTTTTGTTTTTCAACATGGTATTCATATAACTCACGACCATTCTATATCAACTTCAGTGAAATATAATATCTCTCGATTTATGAATATCTGCACACATACATTTAACTGTAGAGTATCAATATAATGTCTATGAGTCGCTGACGTTCTTGATCAGCTCATTAATCTCTCTCTCTAACACGCAATACTTACATTAAAACACTAAAGAGGACAGTGGAAGTAATACTGAGCTGGCTAAACCTATCAAGCATATGAAATAGATAAACTTATCAGATACTCATAAGAAAGATAAAACTACAAGATAAATCAGAGGCATAAATTCACGAGAACTTCAAGATGATAAATTTTCCCATGCCTAGTTCAGTTACTCAGTTTCAATAAAACTTGCCCATGCCTAGTCCATTTACTCAGTTTTAATAAAACTTGCTCAAGGTTCTAACAATGAAGTTGTCTTTGTTCTTTTTTTTAGATATTGTTTTCTGCCTTCAAAGATATTTCATTGTATATCTTGAACCTGGAAAAACTAGTTAAAACTGGAATATCCTTTGCTAACTGAACTATGACATCAACTGAATCTAATAGCTGGCCAATGCTGTCAGGAAACGGAGATCAGGGATAGTGCTGTTCATTGGACAAAGAAAGAGAAAACTAGCATACTGTTGGTGTGAACGCGCTTTGTAGTCATTATAAGAAAAAAAAATACATTGGATAGGCGAAGTGAAAAAAAAGTGTCATCGGCCACTATTCAGTTCTACATATTATATAGCTGCACAACGAAAACATGAACAACATGTTAGTTCACAATGCACACACTCAGAAGCAGCAGACCTGTATTATCCAGTCATGAGTAACTATACAAAGTTAGAATTTGTACAGCGTAGTTTACTTAGAATACACCCTGTTCATGTAGAACGTTTAATTTACTGAGCACAGGCCAGCTATACCTAAAAACGAAACGAAAAACATTGAAGATATCTGAAGAAATATACATTAAGTTTATAAGTTATGAAAGGGTTGCATTTTGAGGGAGTGGAATAAATATTCTGTATGCAGATCAAAGCAAAACTTTTACTTATTTGTGTAAGCTTTTGAGAAATGATAATAGTAATAAAGTAATGTCTGAAGTTCTTCAATTTTATCTGCAAGATACAAACTGTTTGAATAAAAATTGAAATTACACACTAGAAAAATAGGAATGAGATATTAATAGAAAAAATCAGGTGTAAATTTACATTTTCCAACTAGCTGTAGTTCATACAAGAACCTTTTTTTCACAATAACTTTTTGTCATTTTGGTGTTTTGTGCGCTGTAATATGCTAGACTTGACACACAAACGTCCAAAACACACACACAGAAGAAGAAATTACTAGTTATTCGTATACAGGTGGCGCAAGTAGAAAAGTAATGATTCCATGTAATAAATTAGATAACATAGAATGGCGGCAGCAATGGAGGTAGACGATGATGTTGATTCTGAACAGCCAGAAGTACCTACGTCTTCAAGCACTGCTAGAGGTGATAAGAAACGATTTGAAGTGAAAAAGGTAGGTAATAAAGAATATAAACCCATTTACTCGTAAATGTTTGTAATTAGAACTATACAACTCGAAGCTTACGGCTGTGTAATTTTAGTGTAAAGTTAACTTAGTTATATTTATGATAAAAATTATTTAAATACAAGTTAGGTGGCGGCAAGAAGATAAATGTATTTTAATTAAAATTTAAAGTGAGAATATTTGAATTATTGCATAATTATAAACAGTATAGTGTATCCAGATAGCTATATATCAAGAACATCAATAAATTTGAAAAAAATTCCTTTTTTGTATATTTGTGTGCTACATTTTATTGTTCAGTACAAGTACTAGTTAGGCTTAAACTTTTAAAGCTGGTAGTAATAACACTGTTCAGATGACAGTTCACAATTTTAGAACACTGTTCCAGTAAAAATAATCTCCCCCATAATAATATCTCCAATGAGGCAATTATTCAACTTTGAAGTACGTTTTTCTTGTTAAAGATTCAAAGTCACAGTGTTAATTTTTCTAGGTTAACTGTCATATAATTAATTCCACAGAAACTTTTTTTTTGTAAATTCACCATTATTTCTTGTTGGTTTGCTTATATATCTTTGTATCCAAATATCAATTTTAAAACGTGTTAAACCAGGCAGTACAATGTTGCTAATTCTAAGAAATTAGTGAAAGCAAAGATGATATAGATGAAGGAATAGTCAATAAATTACTTAAATTTTTAGATGTTATTAAGGTCTTGGGTATTGCTAGCTGAGAATAGGATACTAATGATTTACAAAAGGATTTAGATCATTTAGTGAGTTTGGCAAATAAATGGCAGATGGGTTTTAATTATAATAAA